AAACAAATAAACATCTCTATTGTTTATATAATTAAATAAAACAATAAACCTCTTTTTTGTTTACTTAACTAAAAGAACTATATTTTTATTTATTTTAATTTATTTAATAAATCGAAGAAAATTTTTAATAAATTTAATTCACAAATTTTTGGTTTTTGTTTCTGGCGAAGAAAACCTCAAAAAGAGTTATCTGTATTGTAAATAAATAAATAATAAATAAATAATAAACAAATAAATAAATAAATAGTAAAGCAAACAAATAAATAAACAAATAAATAATAATCAATAGTATCAAATAGTAATAAATAATAACAAATAACAAAGAATAAACATTAATAAGTAATAATAAATAATAATAAATAATAATAATTAATAATAATAAATAGTAATATATAATAATATAATATATAATAATATATAAATCCAAAGATAGCCGTAATAATAAAATATACAAAAAAATAATTTACAGACGTCAAAATAAAAATCTGCTGCCCTGGGGCATGCAAAACGCCGACTCTATTTTTATTATATACAAATAAATAAATAAATAAATATATATATATATATATTTATAATGTTTAATTTTATTGTTTTGTATTTTATTATGATGAATGCCTATCTGAATGCACACTGCATTAAATATAAATAAATATATATAAATGTATGAATATATATATTCATATATCTATATATATATATATCTTTGTTGTCTTATGTTTATATTTGTTAATTATTTTTTTGTTTGTTATTCCACTTCCCTAGTGCTGCTGTTGTCGCTACGCAGAGGGAAGAATTGTATATCTGCTGCTGCTGCTGCTGCTGCTGCTGCTGCTGCTGCTGCAGCATTGTGCAAATTTGTATCCAACACTGACGCCGAATCTCCCCAAAGAAAACGCAAACCATTCAATGATTGCTGCTGCTGCTCTAGCTGATCCTGCTGCTCCTGCTGTTCCTGCTGCTGCTGCTGCAGCTGCAGCTGCAGCTGCTGCTGCTGCTGCTGTTGTTGTTGTTGTTGCTGCTGATCTGGCTGCTGCTGTCCCTTATAAAAATGCTCTTCTCTGTCTTTATTTGTACTATGTACAGCGGAGAAGTCGGTAGGCCGCAGATACACCCGAAGATCATCTTGCTGCTGTTGCTGTTGCTGCTGCTGTTGCTGTTGCTGGTGCTGCTGCTGCAGGCCAAAAGGAGGAAGTGCATTGAGCTTGCTGCTGCTGTTGAGTGCTGCTTGTTGCTGCTGCATTTCTTCTTCTCTATCTTCGCTTCCAGCCGTTGCAGTAGGAGTGCCTGGGGCCTTCTCTGTAGTCTCGCCGAAGCTGCAAAGCGAAGCAAAACGGTTTGCTGCAGTTGCTTCTGCTGCTGTTGCTGCTGCTGCGTCTCCGTCGGCCTTTATATACGCGGTGAAACTGCCCCCAATTCGCCCGTTGCAGTTTCCGTGCTGCTGCTGCTCCCCATCTGCTGCTGCTGCTGCTGCTGCTGCTGCTGCCACGTGTTTCATTGGTGCTGCATTGAACGCTTCGCGGGGTACACGTCCTTGCTGCGCCTCCTGCTGCACCTGCTGCTGCTGATGCTGCTGCACGTGCTGCGGCTGCTGCTGCTGCACATGCTGCTGCTGCTGCTGCACGCACTGCTGCTGCATGTGCTGCTGCTGCTGCATCTGCTGCTGCTGCATGCACGCACTGCTGCTGCATGTGCTGCTGCTGCTGCATCTGCTGCTGCTGCATGTGCTGCTGCTGCATGTGCTGCTGCTGCTGCTGCTGCTGCTGCACGCACTGCTGCTGCATGTGCTGCTGCTGCTGCTGCATCTGCTGCTGCTGCACGTGCTGCTGCTGCTGCATCTGCTGCTGCTGCTGCAGACTGCAAGGCCTAGCAGGGCTCTCTTGCACTAGCTGCAGCACCGACCGTTCAATGTTGAAGCGGTAGTCGTTGCTGCTCTCGCCCCAGCAGGTACTGACACCCCACTCCCCTTGCTGCTGCTGCTGCTGCTGCTGCTGCTGCTGCTGCCAGTTTGTTGCCTCGAAAGGAAGCAAACAGCGGTGCTCGTCTTCCCACCCATGAAAGACATTCTGCTGCTGCTGCTGTTGCTGCTGCTGATTGTGCTGCTGCGGCGGAGTGGGCCTGCATGTTGCATTTGCATGCTGCATTTTGTCTGCAGCAGCAGCAGCAGCGGCTGCTGCTGCTGCTGCTGCTGCTGCTGTTTTTCTTGTTCCTTTAGTACTTTCATCGGGGTGTGATGAGGAAGGCAACTGCGCATTTAATTTTTTGTTGTTTTTAATTGGAGAGTCAAATAAAATAAAATCTTTCTCTTCGTCCCACTCGCCTGCTAAAAAGAACGGGTTGCTGTTGCTGTTGCTGCTGCTGTTGCTGCCAAATACCTGCTGCTGCTGCTGCTGCTGCTGTTGTTGCTGTTGCTGCTGCAGCATCTGGTGGTGGTGCTGCTGGTCGTTGAACATAGGATCCAAATGGGTATAGTGAATATCCTCTTGAGCTTCTGCATGCCATCCAGCCCCCAACTGATTGACCCACTGCTGCTGCTGCTGCTGCTGCTGCTGGTGCTGCTGCTGCTGGTGTCTGTATGCCTGATGATCCGCATGAATTGAATACGTTTGTTGCTGCTGCTGACTCAGGTTGGGGGGTACGAGCGCTTTAAACGACCAGATGTTGCTGTTAAGAAAAGCATAATTATTGTCTTCAATCATAGGACAAGCTGAAGGGCTCCAGCATACAGTTGTTTTCTTATGAAGCACAGCACCTTTAGGAAGTAAATATTGTTTTGATTGCACGTATGTACAATGATCATTACCTGCTGGGGTGTATAATCTGTATATTTTCGAAAAAGGTTCAGATAATAATAAATCTTGAAGTTTCGGGTGTCCGTACACCCCAGCATCTAATCGTTCATGAGTAATCCACCTAATTAAATCTTTTAATTGAGCAAGAAATATACCCAAAGGCTCTGGATCTACTATGCGACGCATTGCTCTTAGCAGCTGTTGTGTTGCTGCTGCTGCTGCTGCTGCTTTGCTTCCTTTCGGATCTATGAATCTTCTCTGTAAAAAATCTTTTGCTGTTGCTGTGCATGCGGCAAGAGGTATTAATGCCTTATCTTTGTATGTTAATAGCCTAGCCCATGATGCTAATTGAATCATTTGAATTAAATGTGCTAAACGCATATTTTTAAACGCTTCAACTTCTTCTCTCAAATGCTCAGCCAGTGCATAACGACCTTCAAAAAACGAACAAAACGACTGGCTGCTGCCTTCTCTCAGCTTTTCTATGAAATACCTAAACGCAACATGAACAAAAGCAGCAGCAGCAGCAGCAGCAGCAGCAGCAGTAGTGGTAGTAGCAGTAGCAGCAGCAGCAGCAGTAGTAGTGGTAGTAGTAGCAGCAGCAGCAGCAGCAGCAGTAGTGGTAGTAGGAGTAGCAGCAGCAGCAGTAGTAGTAGCAGCAGCAGCAGTAGCAGCAGCAACAAGGGGGATTAAAAATTTATCAAAAATGATGTAAATAAATAAATAAACGACAAAAAAGAATAAATTATATTTGTGCTAAAACATTTATTATAAATATATTTTATTATTTATTATATATATAATATACATAATATGTATATTTTAAATTATATCTACAATCATATATGCATATATATTTACATATATATTTATATGCGCATCTTTTTACAGTTTATTATTGCGTGAGACGATTACCACTTGTTAATTATTATAACGGGTTGAATTAAATAAATTAAAACAAATAAAAATTAAATAAAAATAAATAAAAATAATTAAATTAAGTATTAAATTAATTTAATTAATTTCGTATTGGGGCGAGCAAAATCGAAAAACAAAACAAATAATGAGTAAAGACAGAAAACAAAATAAAACAAAATAAACAATAAATAAAATAAATTAATTAATAAAATAGATAATAAATAAAATAGATAATAAATAAAATAGATAATAAATAAAATAGATAATAAATAAAGTAAACAATAAACAAAATAGATAATAAATAAAATAGATAATAAACAAAATAGATAATAAATAAAATAGATAATAAATAAAATAGATAATAAATAAAATAACAAGATGAATAGACAAACTAAATCATAAATAGATAATAGAAAGACTAAAATAGATAATAAATAAAATAAAAAAGATAAATAATAATTAAAATAGATAATAAATAGATGCATACTGAGTAAAATAAACTAACTTGTTGAATGCAATCCACTGTTCAGGTGTATATACATTATCTTTTGCTCTTGTATCAACAAAACCTTTGAAATCTTTAGGCTCTTGATTTTTATTTAATAACAGCACCCATCCGTCTTCTCCTTTAACTCTTCTTTCTATCTTTAAATAAACATTTTCAGACATCATTGCGAGACCGACGACTTCAGAGGGCAGCCAAGCTGCTGCTTCTGTTTTCTTTCTTAGTTGGTGTGCTACTTCACCTGCAAAAGGTTTAATACCTTCTTTATATAAGAATTTAATGCAGCTAAGTAGAGCATTTTCGAGTGTATGCACAGCTTCTATCCCCTTCTCATTTAAAAACAAACAAAGCCCTGAATTCTCTAAACGCGGTATCAGACAACCATCAGATAATCTCCAAGCATCAACACCTGCAATTCTTTGCCTTTGTACTTCTTGTTGATTAGATCTGCACACTGTTTTAAACGTACCATCACCTAAAGGCATTAAACAAAGACAATTTAACGGGTACACAAGGCCTATGCGACGGGAAGAAATAGAAGAAGAATCGCACGTAGTACTGCTGCTGCTGCTGCTGCTGCTGTTGCTGCTGCTGCTGCTGCTGCTGTTGCTGCTGTTGTTGTTGCAAGCTGCAGATACACCGCAAACAGATAATGAACCCTTTCTAGCAGAGCATAAACAGCTTCTCATCAACTCCAATTGATGTACATAATGAGCGCCTGCACCTGCTTTTCTTAGTGCTGCTGCAGGAACACACACAGAAGCCGGTTGCTGCTGTCGCTGCTGCCGAACTGCAGCGCGTTGCTGCTGCTGCTGATGCTGCTGCTGCTGATGCTGGTGCTGGTGCTGCTGCTGTTGTGGCAGAGGATGTTGCTGTTGCTGCTGAGGCTGACAATGAGCATGAGCATGGCCATGAGACAGATGCTGCTGCTGCTGCTGCTGCTGCTGCTGCTTGGCGTTGGTGTCTGCAGCAGGAGGAGGAGGAAGCGGAGGTGTTGGAATCTGTCTTTGAAAGACAAATGAAGACTGAGAACAATCAAAGGCATGGCGAGAGCACTGCGAAGGCCTGCTGCGTCTCTGAGGAGGCGAGACAGGAGGAGATTGCTGCTGCTGCTGCTGCTGCTGCTGCTGTTGGTGCAGCTGCTGCTGCTGCTGTTGCTGCTGCTGGCGAAGAGCTTTCGAGTTGCTTCGAATAAGCCTTTCTGCTGCAGCAGCTGATTTTGAGTTTGCCGGGGAATGAACAGAGATAGGAAAGCCACGGGGGTGTGGTGAAGACAAACAATTGTCTGCTTCTGCAGATCCGCCGCTGCTGCTGCTGCTGCCCTCGGTGCTGCTGTCGCTGCTACTACGGTGCCCGCTGCTGTTGCTGTTGCTGCTGCCGTTGCTGCTGCTGTTACCGTTGCTGTTGCTGTTGCTGCTGGGTTCGGAGGCTTTCACAGGCCGCATGCTGCTGCTGTTGCTGCTGCTGCTGTCGCTGTTGTTGCTTGCTGCAGCTCTAGCACTTGGCTCTTCTTCTGGGTTAAGAATAGAGTTGAGGCTGTACACCTCCGATAGAGCGGGGAAAGCCGCAGCGTAGGAAGCGGAGTGTCTGCCGAGTTGCTGCATTTGCATTTGTTTTCTTTTTGCTGCTGAGACGAAGCTGCACAGACTAAATGGGTTAAAAGAAGAAAAAAGAAGAAAGAAAAAAGAAAAAGGGTGCAAACGAATAAAAAGAAATAAACAAAAAACGGTATTAATTAAGCCAAACACAAAAACAATAAATTTGAACAAAACAAACAAAGATTCGCAATAAAAGACTTAACTGAGTTAGGGTGTATCTGCAGCTTTTGCAGCCCTCTTTGGGGTAATATGAAGGAAATCCGCTGAAATTTGCGTTGAATAAGAAACAAAGTAATAATAAAAGCCAAACCAAAGGCAAATAGAGGCAAAAAAGAGGAAATAATGGGTGTATTTTCAAGGAATGTTTCTATTGCGTCGTGTCAACGGGCGAGGGAAACTGGGGTTTAATTCTGCCGAACCCCTGGCAGAAAGTGCAAGATAAATGGATTGAATGAATATTAAGACAAAGTCTAAAGGAAAAATGAATATTTTATTCATTTAAATGAGCAAAACCTCCGAAAAAGATTTGCAGCAGTCCTTCATGATTGAGCTGCACAGCGGGCGTAAACTCTTAGATAGAAAGACCAATGGTTTTTCGCCTTGTGCATTCATCTTATTGAATAAGTCAAGCAAATAATATCTATTTAATTATGTTTAATACTATTTAATTTAATTTTATGTTTTTATTTATTTTTTACACTTAATTTCAACCTATTGACCCTCTTTTACATTGAATTTCTGTATTTCTCTCTCCAGCACTGACAGACACCCCACTTCCTCGTGCTGTATCCATCAAAATAAGAACTAAAGAATAAAAAGTAAAAAATAAAATAAATAATATAAATAAATAATAAAAATAATTAAATTAACTGCATTAATTATACTTTTTTTCCTAAAATTGCAGCAAAAAAGAAAAACTTATTTAATACAGTCAAACAGCAGTAGAGACACCCTATCGTCCGTATGAGAGTTTTATACATTTTCTCTCCTCAAAACATATTATTAAATTAAAAATATTATATATTGTTTATGATGTAAAATGTACTATTATATTAAATATGTTAACGCACAATATATTATGTATTATTTATATTATAAAATATATTATTAAGTAAATATATACTAATAGTTTATAATAAATAGTTATTAAGTAAATATATACTAATAGTTTATAATATAAATAATATTATTAAGTTAAATACATTACTTCGTAATATACAATGTATTTTTAATAATATAAAATATACTATTAAATTGCCTATGTTGATTTAGATTATATATTTATTGTATAATAAACAAATCACCAAAACTTAGCCGCTATTAATTCAAACAATTAATCAGCAAGGCCAGCAGGTTTAAAAGAAGAGAAAGCAGTTTATAAAACAAACAAAAGCAGAGAATAATAAATAAATTAATTAATTAACCAATTTAACAACGCCTATAGTATACGCATACGATAACAATATACAGATATATATATATATATATATATATATATATATATATATATATATAAATTTAGGCTCTAAAAGAAGATATATTTAACAGTTAATGAAAGTTCAAACAAATTGAATAACTTATTTGAATTATTTGTTCTTCCTGGAGTAAAAAGAAGAAAAATAAATAAATTAAGACGGCGCTATCTACAAAACTTCGTGCCCAGCTTAGCAAACCCAAAAAAGAAATATGTTTTTAATTAATTTATTTATAATAGAATAAAGGGATGTGTTTATTTATATTATTAATTAACTTAATTATAATTATTTTTTATTTATATATCTATATTGTCTTTGTTTCTAAGAACAAAAATGTTGTTATAACATCTGCACGCTTAAATTGCAGCCAACAGAAACAATAAACAAAATGCTACAGAACATATAAACCCTAAACCCTAAACCCTAAACCCTAAGCAGGTAACCCTAAACCCTGTACCAGAAGCCCCTAAGCCCCAAACCCTAAACCCTAAGCCTAAAAACCCAAACCCTAAATTCTACACCCTAAACCCTAAACCCTAAACCCTAAACTCAGTCTGCTGGGTCTGTATTTCCTACATAGTATTCGGTGCTGCACTTAATACGTCTAAGTGGCGGACTGCAGCAGCAGATGCTGCTGGTGCTGCTGCTGCTGCTGCTGCGTCTGTACTTTGCTTGCTGCCGCGTTGCTGTTGCTGTTGCTGTTGCTGCTGTTGCAGGCTTTGATTCTCTTTACTCTTTGAATATTCGTTTTTGTTTGTTTTTTGAACAATGCAGCAAAAGGGCTAAGGAAGACCAAACAAAGGCTTAAAGAGTTTGTTGTTAGAAAAAAAAGCGAACGGTGTACATACAGTGGAGTGTATATACACCTGAGCTGTTTCTATTTTTGTGTTTCTTTTTAATCGCCAACCCATGCATGCATTTCTTTATCACTACTTTTACACAAAAAATGACAGTAAAGCTGTACATATAATATATATATATATATACATATTTATACATTATATATATGTATATATGTATATATGTTTACATATATATATATATATATATATGTATACTTCTATCTTTACATACATATATATATATATATACATACATATAT